GTTAATCAGTATAGTATATTCCATAGCGAATTGACACGTTGTTTGCCAATGTTTCTGCAAAAGCAGCGATGCCCATTGGAAGTGCAGCGTGAGTGTAATCGGTGAGCAGGGATTTGATTTCTGTGACAGCAGGGAGGATCATCCCCAGGTTCCCCAGCTCCTTCTGCATTTTGTCTGTGAGGTCTGCTAGTGGTGTCAGCACACTGACAAGGTGCGTCAGCTGCCGTACTTGATTCAGGGTGATGTTAGCAACATTAGACTTGAGTTTGTTTTACCATAACGGGTCTTTTTGGAACAACCGGATGAACGACTGAATCATCCGCAGCTGGCTGCTCCATCGAATGGCGCAGGCATTTGTGGGGCGGACACCTAATTGGTCGGTTTCCTCTGTGCTCTTGCGTACACTTTTCACCAGGTGCCCGACTTTCACTAACAGCCTATTAATGTTGTCGTGCTTGTTAACGGCGTTTTTGATCGCCAGCTGAAGCATGTGAATGGGGCATCTCAGATGTAAATTTGACAAAGTAAAGTACTGATTTATCATAGTTTCTTGGGGGAGTGTAGCCCGGTTGAGCTGCGCTGGCGAAGTGTTGCATCCCTTCGCGTTCTCCTTTACTCAGCGGTTCATAGTCCATGAAAATCATTTCAAAAAATGCTACATCCAGCTCTCTTTTTCTCTCCCTTGTTATGGTTGGGCCTTTGCGTGCAGTGAATAAACTTTTGAATTCCTCAACCCTTTTCTCTTGTTGCTGCTGCTGCTCCTCTCGCTCTATAAAATACAAATTAATGGACGACACAAATTAAATTAAACAGATGGATTCTGGGTCAGGCTTGAGCATGCTTCAGACTCGTGGTGTGAGCGAGCGAAATTGGAGCGGGACATAGGGCGACGCTCCGTCCTTTTAAAAATGCCGCTCTGCGCTCTGTTCAAAATCCGTCCGCTCACGCTCCACGCTCGCTCCCGCTCCACTCCGCTCATATGCTCTGGTGTGTACACTCCTTTGTAACCTGTGAGGATCATCAACACTTGAACAACCTCTCATTGGCTCTGCTTTGAAACGGAATAGTTCAAATATACATATTTGTATGTTGAGGATGGCGCCTGAAGAGATAGCTGCCGTTTTACGGGCTCCTAACTAATTGTGCTATTGTGTGTGTTTTTTCGCGTTATTCTAACTTATTTTGTACATAATATTTCTGCCACTGTCTCTTATGACCGAAAAGAGCTAGTGGATATCAGGAGAGCGATTATTCACCTCGTACTGGACGAAGATTTTTTCTTTAACGAGTCGGACGCGAAGGATATACTTCAGACACCTGACAAGGCCCAAATCCCCGTCATTCGCATGAAGAAGAGACGGAGATAAGGATCCAACGGCGAATGGGTAATCTGCCTCTACCATCAGTCCTATTAGCCAATGTACAATCATTGGATAATAAAATGGATGAGCTCCGATCAAGACTATCCTACCAACGGGACATTAAAAACTGTAATATCTTATGTTTCACTGAGTCGTGGCTGAACGACGACATGGATAACATACAGCTGGCGGGGTTTTCAGTGCATTGGCAAGATAGAACAGCTGCTGCCGGTAAGACAAGGGGTGGCGGTCTGTGTATATTTGTAAATAACAGGTGGTGCACAAAATCTAATATTAAGGAAGTCTCTAGGTTTTGCTCGCCTGAGGTAGAGTATCTCTTGATAAGCTGTAGGCCACACTATTTACCAAGAGAGTTTTCATCTATATTTTTCATAGCTGTCTATTTACCACCACAAACCGATGCTGGCACTAAGATCGCACTCAATGAGCTGTATAAGGCCATAAGCAAACAAGAAAATGCTCATCCAGAGGCGGCGCTCCTAGTGGCCGGGGACTTTAATGCAGGGAAACTTAAATCCATTTTACCTAATTTCTACCAGCATGTTACATGTGCAACCAGAGGGAAAAAAACTCTAGACCACCTTTACTCCACACACAGAGACGCGTACAAAGGTCTCCCTCAATTTGGCAAATCTGACCATAATTCTATCCTCCTGATTCCTGCTTATAAGCAAAAACTAAAGCAGGAAGTACCAGTGACTCGCTCAATACGGAAGTGGTCAGATGACGCAGATGCTAAGCTACAGGACTGTTTTGCTAGCTCAGACTGGAATATGTTCCCGAGATTCTTCCGATAGCATTGAGGAGTACACCACATCAGTCACTGGCTTCATCAATAAGTGCATCGATGACGTCGTCCCCACAGTGACTGTACGTATGTACCCCAACCAGAAGCCTTGGATTACAGGCAACATCCGCACTGAGCTAAAGGGTAGAGCTGGCGCTTTCAAGGAGCGGGACTCTAACCCGGACGTTTATAAGAAATCCCGCTATGCCCTCCGACGAACCATCAAGGGCTAAGATTGAATCGTACTACACCGGCTCTGACGCTCGTCGGATGTGGCAGGGCTTGCAAACTATTACGGACTACAAAGGGAAGCACAGCCGCGAGCTGCCCAGTGACACAAGCCTACCAGACGAGCTAAATTACTTCTACGCTCGCTTCGAGGAAAGCAACACTGAAGCATGCATGAGAGCATCAGCTGTTCCGGACGACTGTGTGATCACGCTCTCCGTAACCGATGTGAGTAAGACTTTTAAACAGGTCAACATTCACAAGGCCGCAGGGCCAGACGGATTACCAGGACGTGTACTCCGAGCATGCGCTGACCAACTGGCAAGTGTCTTCACTGACATTTTCAACCAGTCCCTGACTGAGTCTGTAATACCAACATGTTTCAAGCAGACCACCATATTCCCTGTGCCCAAGAGCAATAAGGGTAACATGCCTAAATGACTACCGACCCGTAGCACTCACGTCTGTAGCCATGAAGTGCTTTGAAAGGCTGGTCATGGCTCACATCAACACCATTATCCCAGAAACCCTAGACCCACTCCAATTTGTACACCGCCCCAACAGATCCACAGATGATGCAATCTCTATCGCACTCCACACTGCCTTTCCCACCTGGACGAAAGGAACACCTACGTGAGAATGCTATTCATTGACTACAGCTCAGCGTTCAACACCATAGTGCCCTCAAAGCTCATCACTAAGCTAAGGACCCTGGGACTAAACACCATCTGCAACTGGATCCTGGACTTCCTGACGGGCCACCCCCAGGCGGTAAGGGTAGGTAACAACACATCTGCCACACTGATCCTCAACATGGGGGCCCCTCAGGGGTGCGTGCTCAGTCCCCTCCTGTACTCCCTGTTCACCCATGACTGCATGACCAAGCATGACTCCAACACCATCAACACCACACTGTGGTCCTCTGTAGCTCAGCTGGTAGAGCATGGCGCTTGTAACGCCAAGGTAGTGGGTTCGATCCCCGGGACCACCCATACACAAAAAAATGTATGCACGCATGACTGTAAGTCGCTTTGGATAAAAGCGTCTGCTAAATGGCATATTATTATTATTATTATTAAGTTTGCCGACGACACAACAGTTGTAGGCCTGATCACAGACAACGATGAGACAGCCTATAGGGAGGAGGTCAGCGACCTGGCCATGTGGTGCCAGGATAACAACCTCTCCCTCAACGTGATCAAGACAAAGGAGATTATTGTGGACTACAGGAAAAGGAGGATTGAGCACGCCCCCATTCTCATCGACGGGGCTGCAGTGGAGCAGGTTGAGAGATTCAAGTTCCTTGGTGTCCACATCACCAACAAACTATCATGGTCCAAACACACCAAGACAGTCGTGAAGAGGGCATGACAAAGCTTATTGCCCCTCAGGAGACTGAAAAGATTTGGCACGGGTCTTCAGATCCTCCACAAGTTCTACAGCTGCACCATCGAGAGCATCCTGACTGGTTGCATCACCGCCTGGTATGGCAACTGCTCGGCCTCCGACCGCAAGGCACTACAGAGGGTAGTGCGTAAGGCCCAGTACATCACTGGGGCCAAGCTTCCTGCCATCAAGGACCTCTATACCAGGCGGTGTCAGAGGAAGGCCCTAAAAATTGCCAAAGACTCCAGCCACCCTAGTAATAGACTGTTCTCTCTGCTACCGCACGGCAAGCGGTACCAGAGCGCCAAGTCTAGGTCCAAAAGGGTTCTCATCAGCTTCTACACCCAAGCAATAAGACTCCTGAACAGCTAATCAAATGGCTACCCAGACTATTTGCATTGCCCCCACCCCCTTTTTTACGCTGCTGCTACTCACTGTTTATTATCTATGCATAGTCACTTTCCCTCTACCTACATGTACATATTACCTCAATTACCTCGACTAACCTGTGGCCCCGCACATTGACTCTGTACCGGTACCCCCAGTATATAGCCTCACTACTGTTATTTTATTGTCGCTCTTTAATTATTTGTTTTTTTTCTTTTTTATTCTTTTTTACTTCTTTTTTTAAAATTCAGTTTATTTTAGTAAATACTTTTAACACTTATTTTTCTTAAAACTGCATTGTTGGTTAAGGGCTTGTAAGTAAGCATTTCACTGTAAAGTCTACACCTGTTGTATTCGGCGCATGTGACAAATAAAATTTGATTTGATTTCAAATGAGTCTCTCCAAATGTCTCACAGAATACCATGTAGGAGTTTGGAATAATAATCACCATAATTATCACTCAACAGGATAATGAGGTATCATAGGAACACAAACACCCACAGAGGGGGCAGAAAGGTAATAGTAGTTGTTGCAGGTGCAAAGTCATTTTAGGACAGATTACCCAAGATCCTGCTCTTCCAAGATGGAGGCCGTTTCACCACAAAAAACTCTCTTTCATCTCAGTTTCACACCCAAAGGCGCCTACCACTTGTTGATGTCTGGAGTCAAATCTCCCTCCTCCCTTTTCATTCTTTCTACACGGTGCTGGGGACATAGAGTGTGCAGAGTGTCCAACATTCACCAGCCGCACAGAGCAGTGGAGAGCGCAGTGGAATTAAAACCACCCATACTAGACACACCACATAGACTCATCTCATCTCCTCATATCTCACCGTCCCGTGCCGACAGCTCTTGTGACAGAGTCACACTGCAGAGCCAGGCAACACTCCTCCATCCCCTCACCCTCCATCCTCCACTCCCTCCCTCCTTCTCTCCAAACCAGCGACCTCCCTTTGTGGGAGCCAGGCCGGGGAATCTTCCAGCTGATAATTGCCTCTTGTGTCCCTGTCACTGGGATAATGTATGGTGCTGCGACGTCAGCCACGTGTGTGCTCTCTACCCTGCCTCTCCCCTCTGTAAAGGAGACACACACACGTTCCCACCCTCTTCTGCCTGCCCGGCTTTCACATGCTTGAATTCAGACCTTTTAGCGCCGGGCTCGTCCTCACCTGGTGGTGAAGAATGACACAATTAATTGGGTGCGTGTGGTAGTGGTGGGAGCTGGAGGGGCCATATTGGGTTATTCATGACTTGGCTGCTATGAAAAGATTAGAGGACAAAAAGGGTCACTAGAGGAACATAATGGGGGTGAATGGACCTCTCCATCACTAGCTAAACCCAGGACAGAGCTACTGTCAGGATGAGAGAGAGAGAGAGAGAGAGAGAGAGAGAGAGAGAGAGAGAGAGAGAGAGAGAGAGAGAGAGAGAGAGAGAGAGAGAGAGACTCTTACCACAGTGCTTGAGGAGGTAAAGGCCACCATGAGGAGAGAGCTAGTGCAGGTAAAGGAGGAGATGGCAAAGGAGTTGTCTGTCATCAAGAGTGTGCTGCAGCATAGAGAACAGACTGTAGAGACCCCTAGAGAGAAGCTGCAGCCCCTCACCACCCCTAACACCCCCACTGACCCATCCTCACCCCTCCCATACCGACCACCCTTTACCCACACCCCCAGTCAACAAGGAGGCTCACATGGGGACACCTACTACAGAGAGAAGCTCTCTGGCCCCCCCTGACACACCCCCACACACCTCTCCTTGTACACAGGCCCTGTGTACCCCAGCCCCAGACCGTAAACCCACTAGTCTGGTAAAACCCACTGAGGTGGCCATCCTCATTGACTCAAATGGGAAATTCATCCAAGAGGATAAACTCTTCCCCCACCACAAGGTGTCCAAAATATGGTGCCCAAAAACGCAGGATGCACTCCACATCCTGTCCCAGCCTGACTTTGGCACACCAGGTCACATTATTATTCACACCAGCACCAACAACCTGTGAGAGGAGCAGGAGAGAGTAGGCTGCCTGGTCAACAGTGTAGCAGAGAGGGTTCCCCAACTCCCACATCACCATCTCCACTCTGCTGCCCCGCAAAGACTTTCATCCCAGTACCATTCAGAAAGTCAACGCTGACATCACCAGAGGGTGTGGCCTACTCCCAAATGTGCACGTTGCTCACCACCCAACAATCACCCCAGAGCATCTGCACGACCACTCCCACCTGAGGAAGCAGACAGTAGGGATGTTTGCCAAGTCTCTAAAGGACGTTGCACTTGGTAGACAAACACCCCATGCCGCACTGGACAGGGGACCACCCAGAGACCCCTACCAGACCACTGCACCACCAAGGAGCCCCAGGCCCCCTCAACGCCCCACCAGACCCAGCGCACCTCACAGGCCCCACCCACCACCAGAGCATCACCACTTCTATCGGTTTAGCCAGACTGGACCGGGCCCAGCCTACTACCCAGCACCAGACCACCACCTCTACCAGACCAGAGAGGAAACCCCCCGGCCCAGACCTGGCCCAGCAGGACCAGCACAGCTATGCGGAGGTCCTCAGAGGACAGGAGAACCCTGTAGGATTGAGTGAGATTAAACAGCTCCTCCAATACATCTGCACTAAACTGCACTAAACGTGCGCACACACGCACCTATTGTACTAAAAGTGTACTTGTTCAATGAATAGGAATATATATATACAGTTGAAGTTGGAAGTTTACATACACCTTAGCCAAATACATTTAAACTCCGTTTTTCACAATTCCTGACATTTAATCCTAGTAAAAATTCCCTGTTTTAGGTCAGTTAGGATCACCACTTTATTTTAAGAATGTGAAATGTCAGTATAATAGTAGAGAGAATGATTTATTTCAGCTTTTATTTCTTTCATCACATTCCCAGTGGGTCAGAAGTTTACATACACTCAATTAGTATTTGGTAGCATTGCCTTTAAAATGTTTAACTTGGGTCAAACATTTCGGATAGCCTTCCACAAGCTTCCCACAATAAAGTTGGGTGAATTTTGGCCCATTCCTCCTGACAGAGCTGGTGTAACTGAGTCAGGTTTGTAGGCCTCCTTGCTTGCACACGCTTTTTCAGTTCTGCCCACAAATTTTCTATAGGATTGAGGTCAGGGCTTTGTGATGGCCACGCCAATACCTTGACTTTGTTGTCCTTAAGCCATTTTGCCACAACTTTGGAAGTATGCTTGGGGTCATTGTCCATTTGAAGACCCATTTGCGACCAAGCTTTAACTTCCTGGACTGATGTCTTGAGATGTTGCTTCAATATATCCACATAATTTTCCTTCCTCATGATGCCATCTATTTTGTGAAGTGCACCAGTCCCTCCTGCAGCAAAGCACCCCCACAGCATGATGCTGCCACCCCCGTGCTTCACGGTTGGGATGGTGTTCTTCGGCTTGCAAGCTACCCCCTTTTTCCTCCAAACATAACGATGGTCATTATGGCCAAACAGTTCTATTTTTGTTTCATCAGACCAGAGGATATTTCTCCAAAAAGTACGATCTTTGTCCCCGTAGTCTGGCTTTTTTATGGCGGTTTTGGAGCAGTGGCTTCTTCCTTCCTGAGCGGTCTTTCAGGTTATGTCGATATAGGACTCGTTTTACTGTGGATATAGATACTTTTGTACCTGTTTCCTCCAGCATCTTCACAAGGTCCTTTGCTGTTGTTCTGGGATTGATTTGCACTTTTCGCACCAAAATACGTTAATCTCTAGGAGACAGTACGCGTCTCCTTCCTAAGCGGTATGACGGTTGCGTGGTCCCATGGTGTTTATACTTGCGTACTATTGTTTGTACAGATGAACGTGGTACCTTCAGGCATTTGGAAATTGCTCCCAATGATGAACCAGACTTGTGGAGGTCTACAATTCTTTTTCTGAGGTCTTGGCTGATTTCTTTTGATTTTCCCATGATGTCAAGCAAAGAGGCACTGAGTTTGAAGGTAGGCCTTGAAATAGATCCACAGGTACACCTCCAATTGACTCAAATTATGTCAATTTGCCTATCAGAAGCTTCTAAAGCCATGACATCATTTTCTAGAATTTTCCAAGCTGTTTAAAGGCACAGTCAACTTAGTGTATGTAAACTTCTGACCCACTGGAATTATGATACAGTGAATTATAAGTGAAATAATCTGTCTGTAAACAATTGTTGGAAAAATTACTTGTGTCAGGCACAAAGTAGATGTCCTAACCAACTTCCCAAAACTATAGTTTGTTAACAAGACATTTGTGGAGTGGTTGAAAAACAAGTTTTAATGTCTCCAACCTAAGTGTATGTAAACTTCTGACTTCAACTGTACATAACAGAACAAATGTTTGCTGTTGTCCTGTTTATCTCACTCTTAACTAGTTAGTAGTTACTGTATTTTTGACTGTGCTGTTATTTCTTTTTGCAACATGAAATCACTATCAGTTACCATGTGGAGCATTCAGGGCCTAAACTCATCAACCTTTGGGCTGAAGAGTTTAGCACTGGAGTTAAAAAAAAAATCTTAAAGATGTTGACGTCATCATTCTGCAGGAGACATGGTGTAAGGCAGACATTGTCACTCACTGTCCCACAGGCTACAGAGAGGTAAATGTGCCATCACAGAAACACAGCTCTGTTAATAGAGGCAGAGACTCTGGAGGATTGATAATTTGGTACAAATCCGAACTACAAAATCTAATTGATCACCTCAAAATTGGTAAATATCACATTTGGTTAAAACTGAAAAAAGAACTTGTACTGACAGAAAAATATGTGTTCCTTTGCACAATATATATCCCCCCCTCAGAATCCCATTATTACTCAGAGGAGATATTCCCCAGCCTTGAGGAAGAGACGTGCCATTTCCAGGCCCAGGTAAATGTGCTCATCTGTGGGGACACAAATGCGCGCACAGGAACACTACCTGATCTAACGACCACACGAGGGGACAGCTTTATTACAGGCCATTCTGTTTCTAACTGTCTTTATCTCCCCCATTGAAACAACAGTGAAAGCACCATCAACAAAAACGGAAAGGATCTGTTGCAGCTCTGTCGAAGCCTGGGTTTGTACTTTGTCAATGGTAGGTTACGGGGGGACTCTTTGGGGAGATTCACCTATTGCTCACCTCTTGGCCACAACACAGTAGACTATATGATTACAGACATTGACCCGTTCTCTCTCAGCTCTTTCACCATCAAGCCACTAACACCTCTGTCTGATCATAGCCAAATTACATTGTTCCTCAAAAGAACAGACATGGAAACAACCACACATTCACAGCCCAGTAAGCTGTACAACATCAGAAATTCATACAGATGGGCCCAAAACAGCACAGAAGAATACCAGAAAGCAACCAGTAGCCAAAATATCCAAACACTCTTAGATACCTTTCTGGATATCACATTCACTCACAGTAAAGAAGGCATCTAGCAGTAAAAAACATAAACTATATATTCAGGCAAACGGCAAAAGAAGCACAACTGAAATTTATAAAAAAAAAAAAAAAAAAAAAGACCACACATGACAACTGGTTTGATGCAGATTGTAAAATTATAAGGAAAAAACTTAGAACACTATCAAACCAAAAGCACAGAGACCCAAATAATGGTGAATTACGCCTTCATTACTGTGAGACTTTAAAACTCTATAAACGTCCACTCAGAACCAAAAAGCACAGTACAACAGCAAGCAGCTCACACTAATTGATGAGTCCATCAACACAAACAACTTCTGGCAAAATTTGAAAAAACGAGGAATCAAAATGAGGAATTAGCGATACAAAATGGTGACATATGGACAACCCATTTTAAAACACTCTACAACACCGTTCAAATTGACACAAACGCAGAACAATGACCAAATTCATGAGAAGTTGAATGGATTACAAAAAGCTATAAAGGATCATCAAAATCCATTTGACTCCCCAATTACTGACCAGGAGCTCTATAAGAAACTTCAGGCCCTCAAATTAAAAAGTAGTATTATAAATGTAAGAGTTCTAAACTTCCTTAATAAGCACAATGTCTTGAGTAAAAGCCTAATTGGATTTATACCAAAACATCGCACGACCGATCATATTTACATCCTACAGTCGTGGGTCAAACGTTTTGAGAATGACACAAGTATTGGTCTTCACAAAGTTTGCAGCTTCAGTGTTTTTAGATATTTTTGTCAGATGTTACTATGGTATACTGAAGTATAATTACAAGCATTCCATAAGTGTCAAAGGCTTTTATTGACAATTACATTAAGTTTATGCAAAGAGTAAATATTTGCAGTGTTGACCTTTCTTTTTCAAGACCTCTTTAATCCGCCCTGGCATGCTGTCAATTAACTTCTGGGCCACATCCTGACTGATGGCAGCCCATTCTTGCATAATCAATGCTTGGAGTTTGTCAGAATTTGTGGGTTTTTGTTTGTCCACCCGCCTCTTGAGGATTGACCACAAGTTCACATTGGGATTAAAGTCTGGGGAGTTTCCTGGCCATGGACCCAAAATGTAGATGTTTTGTTCCCCGAGCCACTTAGTTATCACTTTTGCCTTATGGCAAGGTGCTCCATCATGCTGGAAAAGGCATTGTTCGTCACCAAACTGTTCTTGGATGGTTGGGAGAAGTTGCTCTCGGAGGATATGTTGGTACCATTCTTTATTCAAGGCTGTGTTCTTAGGCAAAATTGTGAGTGAGCCCACTCCCTTGGCTGAGAAGCAACCCCACACATGAATGGTATCAGGATGCTTTACTGTTGGACATGACACAGGACTGATGGTAGTGCTCACCTTGTCTTCTCCGGACAAGCTTTTTTCCGGATGCCCCAAACAATCAGAAAGGGGATTCATCAGAGAAAATGACTTTACCCCAGTCCTCAGCAGTCCAATCCCTGTGCCTTTTGCAGAATATCAGTCTGTCCCTGATGTTTTTCCTGGAGAGAAGTGGCTTCCTCGCTGCACTTCTTGACACCAGGCCATCCTCCAAAAGTCTTCGCTTCACTGTGCGTGCAGATGCACTCACACCTGCTTGCTGCCATTCCTGAGCAAGCTCTGCACTGGTGGTGCCCCGATTCCGCAGCTGAATCAACTTTAGGAGACGGTCCTGGCGCTTGCCGGACTTTCTTGAGCGCCCTGAAGCCTTCTTCACAACAATTGTATGAAAATGTATGCACTCACTAACTGTAAGTCGCTCTGGATAAGAGCGTCCGCTAAATAACTAAAATGTAAAAATGTAATTGAACCTCTCTCCTTGAAGTTCTTGATGATCCGATAAATGGTTGATTTAGGTGCAATCTTACTAGCAGCAATATCCTTGCCTGTGAAGCCCTTTTTGTGCAAAGCAATGATGACGGCACGTGTTTCCTTGCAGGTAACCATGGTTAACAGAGGAAGAACAATGATTTCAAGCACCACCCTCCTTTTAAAGCATCCAGTCTGTTATTCTAACTCAATCAGCATGACAGAGTGATCTCCAGCCTTGTCCTCGTCAACGCTCTCACCTGTGTTAACGAGAGAATCACTGACATGATGTCAGCTGGTCCTTTTGTGGCAGGGCTGAAATGCAGTGGAAATGTTTTTTGGGGATTAAGTTAATTTTCATGGCAAAGAGGGACTTTGCAATTAATTGCAATTCATCTGATCACTCTTCATAACATTCTGGAGTATATGCAAATTGCCATCATAAAAACTGAGGCAGCAGACTTTATGAAAATTAATATTTGTGTAATTCTCAAAACTTTTGACCACGACTGTACACACCCTGATAGATAAACATGTCCACCAAAATAATACCAAAATGTACGCTTGCTTTATCGACTTCCAAAAAGCATTTGATTCTATTTGGCATACAGGACTGTTCTACAAAGTTATTGAAAGTGGTGTAGGGGGTAAAACATATTACATAATTAAACCAATGTATACTGGCAATACGTGCAGCATCAAAATCCCCAACCCCTGGTGTTAGTCTCCACAATTCAGAGGTTAAATGCCTGCTCTTCGCAGATGACCTATGCCTGCTGTCACCCACAGCACATGGCCTACAACAGAGCCTGGACCTGCTACAGCAGTACTGCCAGACCTGGGCCCTGGCAGTAAACTCCAAAAAGAATAAAACAATGATTTTCCAGAGAAGATCCAGATCTCAGGGAATTAGACCAAAGTTCTCAGTTGGTACAAAATATATAGAGTATTGCACACACTACAATTACTTAGGTTTAAAAATAAGCTCAACTGGACACCTTAATGATGCAGTGAATGAACAGAGAAAGCACGCAGGGCATTCTACACCATTAAAAAACAAATTAAAATTGAAATACCTATTAAAATGTGGCTAAAACTAATTGAATGTGTCATTGAACCAATTGCACTTTATGGCAGCGAGATGTGGGGTCCACTTGCAAAACAAGATTTCACCAAATGGGACAAACACCCCATTGAAACCCTGCATGCAGAGTTCTCCTAAGATTCTCCTACATGTCCAGAGGAAAACTACAAACAATGCATGCATGGCAGAATTAGGCCAATATCCACTAATAATAAAAACTCAAAAAATAGCAATTAAGTTTTGGAAACATCTAAAATACAGTGACCCCCTCTCATATCATTACCAAGCCCTGCAATGCCAAGAGCTGAGCAAATAAAAGAGTCCCCTCATCCAGCTGGTCCTGGGGCTGAGTTCACAAACCTGTTCTACTAACACACTGAAGCCTCAGGACCAGAACACCCAATCAATCAGAATAAACCAAATTACAACACAGTCAAAACAAAACTACATTGCTTATTGGGAAACACAAGCACAAGCACAAAGTAAAATGCTGTGCTATCTGGCCCTAAATCAACAGTACACCGTGACTAACTATCTGACCATGGTTACTGATCAAAACCTTTAGAAAAACCTTGACAAAGTACAGGCTCAGTGAGCACAGCCTTGTCATTGAGAAGGGTAGACACAGCAAAACCTGGCTCCCTGTAGAGGAAAGGCTGTGCAACCACTGCACCACAGCAGAACCTGAGACAGAGCTGCATTTCCTGACAAAATGTCAAAAATATAAAACAATTAGTGTAATTTCCCCAAATTTGAAACCGTTTTTCAAGGTTTCAAAGACCTCTCTGATGAGAATAGGCTACCCGTCCTGTTGGGGGAGGGTGCAGAGAGCTGTGGGTTGGCAGCGCACTACATTTCTGCCTGCCATTAGATGAGGGACAGTGTCTGATGTCCTGTTGACAATATATATTATTATTATTATTTTAATTATGTTAATAGTGTAAATATCCAAAGTAAGCTTTGGCAATATGTACATTGTTACGTCATGCCAATAAAGCAAATTGAATTGAGAGAGAGAGAGAGAGAGACTCCAATCTAGCCTTGGTTCTAACGTGTCCTTTGTCCTGATCTTGTCCTCATTCTAATTGTGCCCACATTTTTAGACAGTAGACGATTAAAAGACGCATTGTGAACTGATTTTGATCAGATTTTATAAGTGTAAATGGGCAAGATCAAGACAAGATCAGGACGAAGGACGCATGTTTGCGGCAGGTATACAGTGCCTTCGGAAAGTATTCAGACCCCTTGACTTTTTCCAAATGTTCCTATGTTACAGCCTTATTCTAAAACGGATTACATCCCCCCCCTCCCCCCCTCATCATTCTACACGCAATACCCCATAATGACAAAGCAAAAACAGGTTTTTAGAAATGTCTTCTAATTTATAAAAAATAAAAAACTGAAATATCACATTTACATAAGTATTGAGACCCTTTACTCAGTACTTTGTTGAAGCACCTTTGGCAGCGATTACAGCATTGATTCTTGGGTATGACACTGCAAGCTTGGCACACCTGTATTTGGGGAATTTCTCCCATTCTTCTCTTCAGATCCTCTCAAGCTCTGTCAGGTTGGATGGGGAGCGTCGCTGCACAGTTATTTTCAGGTCTCTCCAGAGATGTTCAATCGGGTTCAAGTCCGGGCTCTGGCTGGGCCACTCAAGTACATTCAGAGACTTGTTCCGAAGCCACCCCTGCGTTGTCTTGGCTGTGTGCTTAGGGTCGTTGTCCTGTTGGAAGGTGAACCTTCGCCCCCGTCTGAGGATCTGAGCGCTCTGGAGCAGGTTTTCATCAAGGATCTCTGTACTTTGCTCCGTTCAGCTTCGATCCTGACTAGTCTCCCAGTCCCTGCCGCTGAAAAACATCCCCACAGCATGATGCTGCCACCACCATGCTTCACCGTAGGGATGGTGCCAGGTTTCCTCCAGACGTGATGCTTGCCATTCAGGCCAAAGAGTTCAATCTTGGTTTCATCAGACCAGAGATTTTATTTCATTTTATTTGTTTCTCATGGTCTGAGAGTCTTTAGGTGCCTTTTGGCAAACTCCAAGCAGGCTGTCATGTACCTTTTACTGAGGAGTGGCTTCTGTCTGGCCACTCTACCATAAAGGCCTGATTGGTGGACTGCTGCAGAGAGGATCTCCCATCTCCACAGAGGAACTCTAGAGCTCTGTCAGCGTGACCATCGGGTTCTTGGTCACCTCCCTGACTAAGGCCCTTCTCCCCGATTGCTCCGTTTGGCCGGGCGGCCAGCTCTAGGAAGAGTCTTGGTCGTTCTAAACTTCTTCCATTTAAGAAAGATGGAGGCCACTGTGTTCTTGGGGACCTTAAATGCTGCAGAAATGTTTTGGTAGCCTTCCCCTTATCTGTGCCTTGACACAATGCAGTCTCGGAGGTCTACGGACAATTCCTTTGACCTTATGGCTTGGTTTTTGCTCTGACATGCACTGTCAATTGTGGGACCTTATATAGACAGGTGTGTGCCTTTCCAAATCATGTCCAATCAATTGAATTTACCACAGGTGGACTCCAATCAAGTTGTAGAAACATCTCAAGGATGATCAGTGGAAACAGGATGCACCTGAGCTTAATTTCGGATCTCAAAGGGTCTGAATACTCATGTAAATAAGGTATTTCTGTTTTTTTTTAAAACTGTTTTCGCTTTGTCATTATGGGGTATTGTGTATAGATTGCTGAGGATTATTATTTTTTTAAATCCATTTTAGAATAAGGCTGTAACGTAACAAAATATGGAAAAAGTCAAGGGGTCTGAATACTTTCCGAAGGCACTGTAAACGGGGCTAAAGAAATGTCCGCTCATTGTTTGTTGCTCCCAAGAATAATTCTACTTTGCGATGTGTACACATTTGTAGTTAGTGTTTTTGGAGAGGTTGCGTGGGGCTCATCAGTGAGGGGCTGGTTACCTGTTGGAGGGTGTGGGTGGGAGAAAGCAACCAGGTCCTCGTCCTTCTCCTGCAGCTGTTGCTGGAGCTCTTGGGAGAGACATCGCTCCTTCTGTAGACTCTGCTCTACAGCCTGCAACAGAATAACAACACAGCCATCACATGAAACGCCCACTATGCTGTATGATGACAGAGATGACTGATCCTCATCCACTTCTTAAACATTATCATCATCCCCATCATCACCACTCACAGACACACAACATGACAACTACTATCCTACAATAGCACCTGATTGAAGCATACTGTTGACCCAAATAAAGTCTAATAGTAGGGCTTACCGTCAGCTCAAGAGTGAGTTTTTCAATCTGGTTCTTCTGATTGTCTATCAGCTGAAAAAGAGCAGATAGGAATCGTAAACATCTGGTAGCTGTCAGACTCATCACTCTGAATGACCCAGTGTGTGTGTGTGTGTGTGTGTGTGTGTGTGTGTCTGCATCTCACATTGCTGGTGGTGGCTTGCTGTTCCTGTAGTCGTGCGTTCTCTACCTCCAGCTGCTTCAGGTCCAGCATGGGGAGACGGACCCCGTCCTCAAGACACTGCTCCACCTTCTCCTGCAGGCTGGGGGAACCAGAGAGAGACACAACGTTAGGGCACCGTCTGTCATCAACATTACTAACCAGCTCTGTTTTAACACACTGTTACAACTAAAAACAGGAGTTGCAGAGGAATATTGCTATTGTATCTCAATTCCTTGATCATACCTCTGCACAGCAGCCACCAGTTCCTTCTCCCTCTTGCACTGGGTCTCAATCAGGTCCTCTTTCTCCTGCAGCACGGTGCGGCCCTCCTCCAGGTGTTTCTCTAGACGAGCCACTGTGTCCTGCAGGCCCTGGGCCTTCCCCTGACCCTCCTCCAGCTAATAGACACACACAGCACATGAACAGAACATTAGGACTGTACACACACAAACAGGCAAACACAACTAGATAAGACTCACCGAACCATACACACCAGTTTAGCGCACACAAACCACACTTTGAAATTTACATTGCCGTAATTGTTTGGTTCTTATTGACCTCAAGTGGTAAAATGGTGTCTTACGTGATTACTATTACCAAATTGAATCTCATTATTGTCTTGAAGAAAATGACATAAAGCAGGTTGACGATGATTTAATAATCATTACAGTTCAGATAGACAGGGCAAACACAATAGAAGACATATTATCTTATGGTTGATCAGAGGTTACTAACAGACACGATGAACTCCCCTGACTCCTCCTCTTTCCCCTCTAGCACTCCCATTAATGCAGCCTGAAATGGCTGATCTAATCAGGTCTAATGGGATTAGAGAGCTGTAATGAAGAGGCGCCTCCGCTCCATTACCAGGTGTTAGCTTAGCACTGAGACGCTAGCTAGCAGAGAAGCTAGCAGGGGCTCACTATCTGGCCATGCTAGAGGGGGCAGACATAAGGAGCTTTCTGACCAGTGACCACAAATCCAATTTCAACCAGTAACATTAACGTTTAACCCTCACCTAAAACTTGCCTTTAACCTAAATCTTAACCCTAAAACTAAAACAAGATCATACAGGCTAGCTCATGTACTTTCTCATCATTTTTTGTTGTATTTTCTAACATGGCCATCAAATGACTAAGAAGCTTAGGTGATCCTGTGGCTGGATAGGGTCTGTACCTGCTGGGCCTGGGTCTGGACCTCGTCCAGGGAGGGCAGGTCAGCCAGGTACTTCTCCAGGGTCTCTATCCTCTGCTGCTTCTCCTGGTTCTGCTCACTCTCCCGCTGACACTTCTTCTTCAGGCTGTTGATGTAGCGGTCACGCGTCTTCATCTGGAGGGCAGGACAGAGGGTTGATTACATTCATTAGGGTTAGGGTTGTGGCTAGGTTAAGGGTTCCAGGGGTGTAGACATCAAGCTAGAGTTAGGGTTGTGGCTGAGGCTGGGGTTAGGGTTGATCTATCTGTGTAATGTGCCCATTGCCCACCTTCTCCTCCAGCTTCTTGATGTCCTCTGTGTATTTCTGGGTGTTCTGTTTGAGGAACTCATTGAGGTGGATGACCTCCAGCTCTGCAGCGGCTAGCTTACGGCCCAGCTCCCCATTGTCACAGCACAGAGGGCTCACCCTATCTGGGACCTGCAGCTGGGGCTGGGGGTGGGGCTGGAGCTGGAGCTGGGGGTGGGGGTGGAGCTGCAGATGGAGCTGGGGGTGTGACTGAGTCACCGGACTGTCATATGGAGACTCCTGGAAAAGAGAGGAGGAGAGAGTTGTCAGTCTTTTAAAGAGTTCCAGATATGTCAACAAATGTCAAAGCTTCAGACAAAGCTTAGAAATATTAACACTTAGCCAGTTGTGTATAACAGTATACTAGGTCAGATAATTGAGTTGTTACTGGATAGGTGAGGCTTTATTACCTTAGCTTTGAGTAGATAGGGGTCGTCACAGCGCCCCTTCTGGCTCTGGAGGACCTGTTGCGCTTTCAGCTCGTTCTCCCTGATCCGAGCATGGAGCTGTAGGATCTGCTGCTTTTGTCTGGAAAACACACATCAGACATAGAATGTCAGCAATACACCACAATATAGCAGAAGCAGCTATACTGATATCCAGGTAATACTTACATGTAAAAACATGAGGTACACATTCAAATATGCAATAGTCACACACAGTGCCACCTCTCTCCATTATGAATATTAAGCAGGCTGGCAGTAATATAGAAAAACACAGCCAACAGGCCAATCAATGTGGAGCATGTAGGACGATATATAATAATACTATATAATAACATCTGTCTTAATGCCACTAGTGTGTATAGCATATAGCATAAACATCTAGCCCAGGGTACTTTTGAGTCAGCGTTGTGGACAGGTGGTAATATACACTGAGTATACCAAACATTAGGAACACCTGGATTCACCTGGTCAGTCTATGTCATGGAAAGAGCAGGTGTTCTTAATGTTTTGTATACTCACTGTACAGCGCTCTCCTCTAGGCTCCTAAAATTAAGGTAGTGTGACTCAGTGTAAATCACTTGTCTAATATTTCTCTCTTGTGAAGGGCTGGACCAGCTGGCTACATGCTATCCTGATGAGGCAAGCATAATTCCTCCCCTAAACCCCGCCCTGAAAAAATGTTATATTTATAATAATCTCCTAATACCTGTGTGTAGCTCTTTGCTTTGACATTTTTTGCCTTTCAGCAAAATAAAAGGGGAGTGTTGATAAATGTTCCTGGATCGAGATAGGAATACTAAATGCTTGGTGTGTAGGTTGCTTTCGACTGCCACCTGGTGGTGAAAGTAGCTTGTTTTCGCATTCATTCCAGTCACAACTGATGGAGATATTCAATAACAAGGCACACAATTGAGAAAGCCCTCGCTTTAACACCCTGACCAGCCTGCTGCTATCCCAACTCATGGATAGTTACATATCGGTAGGAAAGTGTTCGTCCCATATCTAACGCACACAGCATGCTGTCTTATTCACAATAACACCAGTTGACCAGGATTTCCAGTGTGCTAGCCTGGGCTGGCTTGCACACTGATCTCTCCAGTTCAAAGCGGGTCCAGCCTTTAATGTCATACCAGTCTATGTGTCGATGTGGCAGGGTAGTGTCTGTGTGCTGTGTCTCGGCCTGTATTTTCTGCAGTAATCTCAGGATGAGTGTGTGGGTGGGTGACCCTGTACTGTCCACTAACCTCCCCTGGCACTGCCCAGCTTGTCCTGTCAGCACCAGCCTGCCACTCTGAAAGGGGACACCTCGGACGCGTGTGGCCGCATGCCGCCACACTGACATCTGCTCAAGGTCATTGAAAAAGTGTGTATGTATGTGTGTGTACATGCCTCGAGCGATGCTGCCCCATCATATCAGAGACTGCAGTGCTCTAACTTTCCACTGGGCAATGACAACCTGAAGGGACACTCACGGAATGTTTTTCCTTCCAATGTGATGAACAGAGCCAGACAGTGCTGCAATATAATGAGGTACATACTGTGTACATTTGCTGCTCAGAAGCCTTGGTCCAACTCAATAATGCTAAGATTCGGGTGTGTTTCTCCTAGAATTGTTTTGGTGTTTTTCTCCAGCCTAAATGAATTCCCCTGCTTGTCCCAATGACTCACTACTGCACCTCTCCTGGTTAAAATTTCCCTGTCCTCTGCTGTGTATTTCTGACCTGTCAATCTCCAGCTCCCTCTGTCGCAGAAGGCCCTCTTTGATCTTCACCAGCGTGTTCACAGGAAGGGAGGCTCCGCCCAGCATCTGCACAGGAAACACACACATCGGTCAGCACATTTACAATAACATCTACTAAACAAGCAGATCCACATCGTTGTCATCCTTGTCGTCATCTTCATCATCTTCATCATCTTCGTTAAAATCAAACTAAAGGTTTAACTAAGAGACACCAAAGAGAGTCAACTAGCCTAGTGCCATTTTGCATTTATAACCTAACTGTAGTCCCTATACAAAGACATGAGCCACAGCTTATCTGCAACTTTCCAACTTCAAAGCCCATGTACACCTCCAAACACTGGGCCTTCACACATTCCAACAGTATATCCTTTAAAGCTCTCCTCTCTACGGGAGTGTGGGGAGGGTGTCATGGACGGGCCGTTTGGGCGGGCGTCTCTTCAACATTGCATCAGTGAGTGACTAATCTCCTATAGCATAACAAGGTCTATGTGCCAGATGGCTGGGCTGCTGCAGGGCCCCTGGTGAGGAGCTAACACAGGGATCACGCTATTCCGACAAGGTCCCATTATAGGATCAGGTATGTTCTCACTACCTCCTACTACAGAGGCACAGGACAGAGAGAGCCAGGTCATGTTCAGTAGGCACGAAATATAAAATAATTTGAATCGGAAAGACCGAAATGGGTGTTCTTATTGGACAAATTCAGTTACTGAACGCGTCGTCACTTACTATTATAATCTCGTCTCCATAAGATGATTGAAGGTATGGAGGCTGCAACATCTAAGTCTTTATTTCTATAGCTCAAAAGATATGGTAAAACCCTGAAACCATATCTGAAACCCTGGAGAATCCCATAGGTATTCTAATATGGTGGACTGGACATTGTGTCTACAACACTCAAGGCTCTATCTGACAACTGTGGTGATCTGGCAGTCACCATTGACTTCAGGCTTAGTCATGAGTGGTATGGTGGTGCTATGGCGCTATGTGCACAAACAATACACACCAATAATATGGATCCTGGACACAAGAGCCATAACCACATACTGCTCTTTACTTATCAGATGTGTGTAACCCCTCGGTAATCATCTCTTAAAATATTTTCCAGTTGAGTTGCCCTGCCTGCCGCCAGGTTAAAAATACCTATCCTATTAATGCCCTAGATATCAGCTTCACAGCTCTTCTCTCTGTCTCTCTAGCCCTGGTAAAAAATGCTGCTGAGGACCCCCTCCTGTGAGGCTTTGTCCCTCCCAACCCCCCCCCCCCCCACATACCCTGATAGGAACCAGGTGCTCAGCAGGGTAGGAAGACATCACAGGAGGTTGGTGGCACCTTAATTGGGGAGGACGGGCTCGTGGTAATGGCTGGAGCGGAATCAGTGTAATGGCATCAAATACATCAAACACATGGTTTGATACCATTCCATTCGCTCCGTTCCAGCCATTATTATGAGCCGTCCTCCCCTCAGCAGCCTCCACTGGCAGACATCCATCCGTCCCTGACTCCAGATCCACTTCACATAGCTTAGTCTATTTTTAACAAACCATTGTGTGATGGTGGCCACAGCAGCGGGCAGAAGCAAGCAGAGACGTGTCCAGTGTATCCTGGTAAGACAAGCTAGTACACATGGGCTCTCAGCAGACAGGAGATATTACAAAAGGGCCCCAATAAAAGGTAGGGACACTGCTGTAGTGACAAAAAACAAGCTGGGGGGAAACACAGGGAGTTTCCACAACACTGAGCAGCTGTGTGAGGAGACAAGCCAGGATAGGCCAGGGTAAGACAGGACAGGGTAAGACAGGATAGGCCAGTGGGGCCCACAGGGACTGGCCTGAATTCTGTCTGGGTCCCACTGCTTGCTTTGGCCCACTCATCACAACATAGACAACACAGACACACATGCTTTTTAGCTCTGACAATATCACCACACATGATTGTTTACGGGTTTTGCTGCAGAGGAAACGGGAGGAAAGTTCTAACTCTCTCTAAATACAACCTAAATAGCGATCATGACAAACTGGCCTCCCGCGACCGGGAGATTCATGGGCGGCGCACAATTGGCCCAGCGTCGTCCAGGGTAGGGGAGGGAATGGCCGGCAGGGATGTAGCTCAGTTGATAGAGCATGGCGTTTGCAACGCCAGGGTTGTGGGTTCGTTTCCCACGGGGGGCCAGTATAAAAAAAATATGTATTCACTAACTGTAAGTCGCTCTGGATAAGAGCGTCTGCTAAATGACTAAAATGTAAATGTAAATGTAATGTCCCTGTGTAGAGGAAACTCAGTGTGTCTCTGGGGAGAGCAGAGCACCAAACCACCACTACAGCCTTCAGGGAGCAGGAACAACCCCCAGCAAGCGGAAGTCATTATGAAAAAAGTATGAAAATGTATGCACTCACTACTGTAAGTCGCTCTGGATAAGAGCGTCTGCTAAATGACTCAAATATAAAATGTACGTCCAAACAGACCACGGTCTAAATTAGGACTGGTGGTTTCTGTCCTGTCCTCTCTCTCTCTCAGTGACATCGCAGTGAGAGAGAGAGGACACAAGGGAATGAACTGGGGATCCATCCAGCATAGGGAAAGTCCCCACTATGTAGACTCTCCATCATCCTTAAAGGGTCACTAGTCACTAAGGCACTGATTTAAAAAACTCTAAACAGCCCTCTTTTCTCCATTGACATTTCATTCTTTGATTATCTCAGCTAACAGGAAGAAACCCACTGGAGAGTGGCTCTATTGTTACTAGGGTGACATTGATGGATGATGGTCGAGTTTGTACATTAGTTTGTACTAAAAATGAAATGGCATTGTATGCTGGTTGCCACTTTCTCTGGGAATCAGTGGTGAAAGAGAGGCTGTTCACTTACTTGCTTGCGAAGTTTATAGAAAGAGAAAGACAGAGAGAGCAAGCAAGAGAGAGTAGGTTAAAGAGAGAGTGGGTGGGTGGGGTGCAGTAAGTATGTCGCCATGCATTCGGAGGCTCTTGGGCTGGGGGTGGGGCTGGGGAGGGAGGGAGGGAGGGATTTACTTTAACATTAGGGATGAATGGCTGGTCTGGGGCATAGCTGTCCCCACCAGCTGATAGCACAGCCCAACACAAAACAACACCCACCGCCATATGACTGAGATCATGTCACTGCATGCCTGCTAACCCCACACACACTTTTTTATTTTTTATACTGCATTGGTTTAATACCATACACCAGCCATAGAGGAAGCCTACTCCCAGCACCAAGCCCTAGACCCAGTATCAGGCTACCTCACATTGTCACTGGTCCTAGAGCAGGAGCATACTGTATATCTCTGGTTGTCTGGCAACAGGTTAATCAGTGTTCCATCTAATGACCATATTGTTGCTTTCCTCCTCCACACAGTCATTTCAACCAATTACAGTTGAAATGCAGTAACAGCAACAGCTGCTCCCAGACAGACCGAGACCCAGACCCAGACCCATTCATTACACTGTGCAACTGCCTGCTGAACGCTTGAAATGCCAAACGACAAGACAGTTTCATTTAGATGCCTGGGGAGCTGGGTTTATTCATCTGTACCACACAGTGAGATGGAAACATGCAAACACACACACAGGCACGCACACACCAAACTAACGAACCAGAAACCGAATAATATTTTATAATGTGTCCCACATAGGCCAGTGAATTTTTCTTCAATTTTATGCTTTGACAAATACGAGTATAGAATGAGTCAGCTGCAAAATGTAAATCTGTTAGGCCTACTGGTCAACGGTGCTATTGGCTAGTTAGCATAGTGAGGCTTGAGTTACATGTAACATGGCACGGCTATGACTACATCTCACTAGCTAGATTTACAAACTATCTCACTAGCTTTCTCATACTTCTACTAGGCCTACATATTAGGTACTGTAGTCCTGGATTTAGCCCAACAATCTTTAATTGCATCCATTTAAATTGAATAGAAACGGCCTAGCCTGTTTCACCAAGTCTCTCTTGGACCATCTCCAGTCGAGGACAGCATTTGGCTTTGGGGCAGGTTTCAGCTGCATCAATATGTTACCAATTAAAATGAACCCATGGCACATTGGGAACAACCAAACTTCCCTGACTTCTTGTGGAGATGGCTGACTAAATGACACCTGGGAGCCAAGCAGGCTAATAACTGTAGCTCTCTCTGTCCATCTCTCTGCTGGAGAGGAGGAGGTCTAGGAGGGCCCTGGAGACCTGACATGCAGGCAAGCTGACTCATTATACTGTAGTATGGTGGGTCAATATGGAGGAGAGAGACGAGCCATACTCTCTCGCTTTCTCGCTCCTCTCACCTTCTTTCTCTCTCTCTCTCTCTTTTTACCTCTTTCTTAGTCTCTCTCTGTCTCTCTCTCTCTCCCCCCCCCCCCCCCCCTCTCTATCCCCTGGCTACTGCTGTGGCAAGGCGAGGCTAGCGTCACTCTGTCACATAGCACAGCTAATCTGCTCCCAATTCCTAGAACGTTATCGCCCTTGCCGCCCTCTTCCCAGGGCCCTCCAGTGCAGACACCCCAGCTTTCAGCACTATCCCAGCCTTGCACACTGACACACACCTCCCCTTCCACCTCTCCTACCCTAGCAGGGATACATTGGGACTGCCTTGATATGAGCATAGAGAATGCATTAGGCTATACCTGTACATTCAAAGCTAACGCCACAATGTAATGTTGTTACAATGGTCAAGCATAACAGACCCACGTGGCCTTAAAGGCTCAAAATGGTGCCTGCTGGACTGTGTGTGGACTATATCATGTGACCATCAGAGAAAAGGCAATTTACCGTTAATCCCTGTCATTAATTTCTGTTAATACATGAATTAATTACAGTCCTTCATCGTTCTCATTCTTGGAGTGGAAACGTTGTTTGCAGAGTTCACAACCTGCTACACTTGTGAGAAACAAGGTTTGGTTTATTTCATACCATAATCTACGTGCTCCATGTGTCTGGTTTCTCTGTCCTGTTAATGTTTGTTGATTGTCTTAATTTCCAAATGCCTGAAGGTACCACGTTCATCTGTACAAACAATAGTACGCAAGTATAAACACCATGGGACCACGCAGCCGT